TTTTTGTTAGCATTAGTGTTACCCGATAATTACCTGAAACGAAATATTATCACGCCCATGGCCGGTTCTTATCTCGGGGTTTTATTGCTCTCTTTCATTTCCAAACAGACTATAATAAGATTTTTCATGCTTGAACAAATATAAAAACGGTATCTTTTAGTCAGATATTACTTTCGAATATATGTATGTATTTGATATTTTGGGGGATTCTGTAGGTGCCCTTTTTTAAATATTTTTTAAACTGTATGATTTTGACCCAATATATTTTATCAGGTTTTACAGTTAACAATTAACAAGTAGTTCAAAAATGGAATAATATACAGTATATTCCATTTGAGGTTAGGTAACACCGAAGAAAAAATCATGTATAATCAAAAATAATTTTAAATTGTGAAAAAAATAATTTGGTGCAGCTTTTATTTAGAAATTTTTTTTTAATTATTGATGTTACCAGAGCTATAGACTGAGACACGCTATACTTCATAGACGTATTCTGCTGATGAAAATAACTGGGGTTAATAATAAAATTAAAATGTTTGTTTCCACGTCTCTATAAAGTTACAGGGTGTAGAAGTTTTATTATTTTTTTAATTTGGTCTGTTACACATTGTATGTGCTGACACTGTGTAAAGTAACAAACAACATACACATAATTTTAAAAATAGTAAAGTGTTTGTCAACTCTTTAGCTAATGATGTTGTGGGATACAACTACTGAATTATATTCACAATATCTAATAAAGGGTTAAAACAATTTGTCAGGAGAATCATCAGACAAAAACCAATTTCCCATTAATTAGTTTTCATCAGTAAATCTTAGGGAGACTATCGTCGAACGAGTTAGCTATATCTATTGACATGTTCTGACTGTGGATGAGATATAAGCTACATAGTAGCCCATATCTTAAATTATTGATATCCAAATGCCTAGTGGCACAAAGCATTACGTTGTACATTTGTTTTCAACAAACTGTTCAATTTATTTATAATTTACATTAATTTTTTGACGCTCAAAAAAACTTTACATTTTTAACGCCAATATTTACAAGCGTACTTTTTTTATCACAAGTTGATTAGGAATTCTAAAAATATCTTTAAATAAAAAAAAAACAGTGGCACACCTTTTTTCCTAAAAAAAGGTACGCTGTCTGTTAGTAACTACACTTTATCCAGAGAAAAATTGTCCACATTAAAAAACATCCTTCAATTTTCATAACATATATTTTGAAATTTAAATTATAGAAAAAAAAACTTTTAACAACCTGTGACTCCCAAGAGTAACGTAAAAAAAATTTGTATGACAAACACAAATAATTTTCTTCACTAGAATACGTCAGTTTGGCAAAACTTATCAGTAACATTTTAATAACTTTTTTCATTATTCACACTTATTGTCAACTAAGTACATATGTATGTATAACTAAAACGCTTTTTGATAATTTTCCGGATTTGCCAATTATTTCAATCCTTTCTATCACAATTAATATTTTAATGATAGTTATGTATGAGTTAGGTACACAAATTAAACAATTCCCTGGCATAGTGCAGACTACCGTCATCTATTTTCCAATGGTAGTATATGAATTGAATTGTGGATCGGTTCCGCGTCCGACATAATATTTCACTACAATTTCCACACATATTTTACCCGAACATTCTCCAGACATACTTCCTATAAAGAGCAGCTTCTGCAAATCATCGGATTTCAAAGGAATTCCCGTTATTAGTTTATGGGGGGGAAATATTTGCGTCTGGGATCTAAGACATACTAGGTTTAACGAAAATTAACAGCTACAGCTTACATCTATTTCGGAAATGTGGTCGATCTGTTTGAGAGGCGCTTTAGAAAAATCGAGTGCAAAATAAATACATATAGGGTGACACGTAAGGATTCATTTATTAATTTTGTAACTACACATATCTATCCTACTTTAAATTTTCAGATATTATCTACATAAATTAACATCACATCGACGGATGGTGTTAATATTTTCCTAAATAAAATAAATTCAAAAAATTTCTAAAAAAAAATAAAATATATTTGATGAGTATTACAAAATGAAAACACATATCAGACATTATTGAAATCATTAAATAATGTAAAACCAACACGTAAATATAGCCATGATAGATAAATTTCAGTTATTTCTGTATTGAGAGGATTATTTTTTCAAGGGATTTTCTTGTAACTCAATTAATAAATATTAAAATAAAATAGCATGTAAAAACAGAACATTTCGGGGAAATTTTGAAAGGACAATTTATCAAAAGTATTGACAGTATTTAATCATTTTCAGATACATAGGAACAAAAACGTAATTTTGCAAATCAAACAATATGTTGCGTGAATGCTTTTAGATCATATGAATACGTTGCCTCCTCGGGGATGCCTCAAGGAAACAACTTAGGACCCTTACTATTTAATATACTTATAAATGATAAAGTGGACGTTATTGATGCTGAAGGTTTGCTATACGCAAATGATTTATAATTTATAGCGAAATATGAACCGTGTTGACTGCGTTCATAAGTATGTATACTTAATAACTTAAAAAGAATTGAAAAATGAGTATTGTTCTGCAAATCGTCTCAATATAAATGCAAAGTCTTACTATCTGAAGAAATCACGGTAATATAATTACATGCTAAATGATTTTAATCTTCACCGGAGACTTTTAGTGATTTGGGAGTAACTTTTGACAGCCACCTTACATTCAATGAATATATTAACGATATCTCTACGGAAACCTAGCGTATGTATGACTTTATTGCTAGACTCAGTAGCGACTTCTTTCATACTGAAACCTTGAAGCTACTGTATTACGTCTTTACAGTACCTAATAGTTTGCAGGCTCCGTCATTAAATCCAATCAGACAATCTAGAGCATATACAAAGGCGTTTTCTAAAACTTTTGTCTTTTAAAGATGATGTTTGTCTTGAAATTGACATACCTACTACCGCATGAATTTCTCCTTGAAATGCATAACTTTAATACTTTAGTTTAGATAATAGTAGACATTGTCATTATGCATTGTTACTGAATCAAATAATATATAATCTATCTATATAATAATATAATTTTAAATTAATTCCGATTTTGTAAATCGTAGTATGTATGTATATTTTCTTTGTTCACCTCATCCTGTAATTAACATTGTTGCATGTAAAATAAAATAAAATATTTACCAATATTTTTACCAATCTTTAGTTAATGAATGAACCATACGAGCTGAACATCTGTAAATATTCAATCCACTAGTCCTTTTCGATGGAACAGTTATTTTTCGAATAGTACTTCTTCTCACTGACTTGCAAGTTTTAATTCAATTTCATTTTCTTTGAAAAACAACTTTTGGTCTTTCCGAACTTTTACGTCGGACTCGGAATAGTCAATTTACTGAAAATTTTACTCATTGTTTTATAGGCATGGTATTGCTTAATGACAATTTCACGTAATTTCTTTTTGGCGGCTTTTCCACAATTCATTGTACTTGTCCCAACATTTAGTTGTCAGAAAACATAAACGTCCATAACAAAATTATTAATACTAAAATTAAAACTTTTATTTGTAAGGGCTCGTAGGTATTGTTACAAATTCTGCCACATGCCAATTAAGGATTCCTGTATTTTTTTAAATGAAGTTCAGATTTTTCACTTAATTAAATATAAATATTTAACTACGTAAGAATTTAAGTTATCAACAGGTTTAGCGCATGAAGGGCAGAAGCATGATAAAATGGCGAATGCGCTAGTTTTTAGAGGGGTCAATTGATAAGTACAATTAGGTAAAATATAATATTCAATAATGTAATAACAGACGTAATGAAAACTAGGTACCACTTTTAAATAAAATTAAACTTCATCTAAACAATAATCATAACATCAATGCGAAACGATAAATAATAATTTTAACCTACCTTCTTATTGTTAATTATTATTTATACTGGACAATGTTATATAACAAATACACAAACAACTACCTGCATATGTTATGACCCAATATGAAACTTCTTTATAATTAGTATTCCGTAAAATAGAAACGAGAAAACTTTTATTTTATTTATGCCTGTCCCAGATTTCATAATATGCACTAAAATATAATGATGCATCTATTTCACTGAAAATGAGGTTATTGCCCTGTTGTAGGACTGCAGGATGTTCATATTACACCAGATGCTAAATTTTGAACGAAAAAAAATTACCTTAAACTTTTATTTTTTATGCAGGTGGGTACCTAATTTATTTATTGTGAACAAAAAATAATATGCGCTTTAATAGATGCACCATAAAAAATAATTATACCTAATACGTTTTCATCAATTACCTACATGTATTTGCACATTAATCACTGTTACTTAATAAATTCGAATAAGAAGCAAACAACTTACCACATTAAAAATCTCGGCATGGATCTCATATGGTATATACTTTTTACACTTAACATGACTTGGAAAAATATCACATTTATCAAGAAATAAAATCAATTTGCCTGAAGAGTAAAATATAATTTAAAACAGGTGTCAGTTTCGAAAAACGTTTACTTCCCTCAATTTTTAAAGGGTTTACTTTAAAACTCCCGACGAGCGCAATAACCTCCTTCCGAGTTAAAAGACAACTGAATAATGAATGTTTTGAAAACATTTTATAGAGTTTAGCTACAAACCAAGATGGTACAGGAATTACAAATTGTTCAAATTGGGTCTTAGCTACTGATGGCTAGATGGCGACGGATAATGTAATATTTCAATTTTTCCAAGTAAATGAAGATTAATAAAATGTATTTATAACTGAAGAAATAAAAAAAATACCCAAGAAAAGTGTATAAAAATAATTAAATTCCATATATTTATTAACAGATAAAAATAATTTCAAGTATTTAATGTATATGATTGATATATAGGCAACCAGTCTCTCTATTCTTTGCGTTACACGTTGCATTTTCATTTTGCATTACAGAATGCGATTTGTTTTTATGGGTGTACACTGTACCGGCGAGGAAACGGAACAGAGAGACAGAAAAATCGATGTTGATTTTTATTCTGGAGCTTGTTCTCTAAGTTGTGTAGAATAAAAAGTATTTTTGTGCAGAAAAATGTGCCAAGAAAAGTGTGTGTAAAAAAAAATTCATTCTAAGCACAAATTGCAAGTTTAAAAAATGTTAGGAACTGCAAGCAACTGTAGTTGAATTTTTGAAGTTAAGTACTAGTAAACAGATAACTAGTGAAAAATGTAACACTATTATGCAGTGCTGTTTGTAACATTTAAACTGATGCCAAATAAACGCTATAGAACTATTTTTTAATAATATAACCTAAAATACTGTAATGACTGGGCTCATTGCGGTACACTGTGGTCAGTATGAATATTATAATATATGATTATGTGTAAGAAATAACAATTTTAGGTGCAGGGCATCATAGTGGCAAGTATCACAGGGAGTACAAGAAGGTCTGCAATAGAGCTTGTCGAAAGGGTATGGAGGTTCTTCGAAAAGGAGGCAGTGCACTAGACGCTGTAAAGGAAGCAGTAATTGGTAACTATGCTATTATTAAATATGCCTTTGAGTGCAACATGTGAATCATAGTTTTAGAAAATGACCCTTTGACAAATGCAGGATATGGATCAAATTTAACGACAGAAGGATTTGTTGAAAACGATGCTTCAATAATGAATGGTAAAACTTTATCATTTGGTGGATGTGGTGCGATTAAAAAAGTTAAGAATCCTATAACTTTAGCATATGATCTGTGCGTAAAGCAATCAGATCCTTTGCCATTAGGTCTGATTCCACCCACCCTACTTGTGGGACCTGGTGGTCTCCAACATGCTAGAAATGTGGGATTAAAGATAGTGAGCAATAACAAACTTATAAGTGAAAAAGCAACAAAACAGTTTGTTAAGTATAAAGGTATGCTAGAACTACAAGAAGAGAATCAGCTTTTGGATACAGTTGGAGCTGTTTGTATAGATGACACAGGTCACGTAGCAGCTGCTTGCAGTTCAGGTATGTTGTTCCTTTGAAGAGTATAATTTTTCTTCCTAGGAATTTTGAATCACTAACTACAGCTTGCCCAAATTCAAGGTAGCTGTTAAGCTAGCACAGTGAACTAGGTTTTTTTTTCGCGAGTGAAGTTGTATGTTGTAGTTAGAGTTGCCAGATCTCCAGGTTTGACCTGGAGTCTTCGGGCTCTGATGGTACATCTCCGGGCTCCGGGTTAACATGTCATTTCTCTGGGTTTTCTTTATTGCGGAAAAAAACATTTTCTGATTCCTGATCTCTGTCACGAAGTAGATATTTCCTGATTGTGTCCTTTTTTTTTGACATCGATTTCTTCGAAAACAAGAAAACAACAATTTGTCTCCCAGATTTTCTTCATAATCTTCTCTTCCTTTTTTTTTTCAGGTATCAATTTATACAAACGAGTCATATCTCCGGGTCTGTCATGAAATAGATCTGGTAACCCTAGTTGTAGTATGTGCAGTATAAGTGAGTGAAGAGATTTAAACTACCATATGTCAACTAAGAGCAAAAGAGATAGAAATAGTAACTACAAGGTGCTACAAGTCAGATATTCGCCAAATTGCCAATATTCAATCATGACAAAGCCATTTATTATTTACATCCACTATAATAGTGGCTAAGGCAGAAGACCTTTGTAGCTCATTCTGCTCACTAATTTTACTTCATTGTAATAGTTATTTAGAATTTCATAATGATTATTAGGTAGGGGAACAAAATAATTTAATAATTTAAACAAAAAAACGGTGATTTACGATGATGTACCACCACATAGAGGGAGACAAGTAACTGCTTCGTTAAATGATCATTTCCCGAATAAATGGATAGATCTAAGTTTGTCTTAGAACTTGTAGAACACCCTGTATAGCAGAGTTCGGTTCAAGACACATCGTCAAATGGTATTCAGGATAAAAGGGTATGTCTAATTGTTGGCATTGCCTACAGTTTTAAAGAAACTTAAGCCATCTGTGGTCTGGGGGCAGCGCAGTCAATGCCATCAAATCTAAGAGGGGTGCTTACAATGCTTCGTTTTTGAGATACAGCGTGTTAAAAATTTATAAAAGTATCACGTTCTCAAATATCTCTGAAGACGTTTGACATAGACAGACAAAATTTGGCCCTATAATTTATCTGGTCACAAGTAAATATTTGCTGAGTTAGCTTACAAATTTTATACAAAGACAAGGCGCTTTAGTTATGATTTTTTAAATTTTAAAGTAAACTCGTCATTACTGTTCAATTAATTAAAAATAACTTGTATTGCAAACATGATTTATATTTATAATTAAAAAGACGTTCTAGTGAAAAAGACGCTTACAATTCTTAAGTCTACTATTATTTTCCTGAAGATCTTTCTAAAGTAGCATATCTGATAACAATATCTATCCATGCGCAATTTCTTTTACCCCTCATTTGTTTTTTTATATATATATTGGTATAAACAATATACAGGTCTGGTCATATTTTTATATCTGATACAAAGTTAGTAAATTATATAAATGTTTCACCAGTTTCCTCTAATAATTCTGACTCCGCCGCCATATCATTTGTATAACTTTATGCCATCGATATAAGGGAATAAAAAAACGCCATAAGAAGTGCGCAAAGCCTGCGATTCTAAGCTCTCCTTGACTATTGGTTTATTGTCTCTGTCTTGCATTAGGAATTTGGGAACAACGTACGTCTAAGATACGTACATTCGGAAGATAGAATACTGGACAATAATTACGTTTTTGATTTATTGTGATGGCATAAAGAGTATAAGCCACGGCCTGGTATTGACAGCAGTCATACGTGTACAATAAATACCCTATTTGTACGATATTTTTTTACAAGAATGATAAGAGGTTTTGAGACCATACTAAAGGATTCCAACTTTATTACAAATTATTTATAACCTTTAGTAAAAACTAAAACGGTATTCTAAAATAAAATGAGTGGTAATTCTTAAGCAAAATAATGAATTATTTTCAAATGCTTATTAAATAAAGATTATTAATTAATAAGGTGTTCAAACAAACCACCTGCTTGAGCACAATACCCTAATACAATACAATACCCTAATCTGTCGTAAAATTCTTGACTAACATTTGACAAAATTTCAGGAGTAACTGATCCTAAAATATTTCCAATTTTAAGCCGTAAACCGTCCAAACTTGCGGCTCTTTCGTATCGATGTTTGTAGAGAAGTTGCATTAAATGACCTCATAAAAAGAAGTGGGGCAGGGTGTCCGATCTGGAGATCGAGGAGGCCAAGGTATGATACCTCTTGTGGAAATAAGCCTTTCAGGAAAAGTTTGTTCCAAATAATCTTGAACTGGCCTTGCGTTGTGTGCAGGACATCCGTCTTGCTGAAACCAAATTTCCTCAAAATTTACATCCAAGTTTCGTACAGCTGGTACAACACTATTTTGTAATAAATGCAAATATCTCTCAGCATTTAAGTTACCATCAATAAAAAAAGGACACGCAATATTATCGCCTAAAATGCCAGCCCAAACATTTACCTTTTGAGGATACTACGTTCTTAATGGTATAATTAAATGCTTGTTCTCCCGGGTCCAATATTGGACCACTAAAGGATTATGGCGGCCAAGTAGAGAAAAAGATGATTCGCCTGTAAATAAGATCTGCCTAGCAAATTCATTATTTTCATTGATTTTTTCCCTAATGTTTACACAAAACTCCATACGCCTTATTTGATCACCAGGAATAATTTCTTGAGAAGTTTGTATTTTATGGGCATTGTAACCATTCTTTTTTAAGATGCGACAAACTGTACGACTTGGAATGTCAAGTTCTTCGGAAATTTGGGAGGAAGAACACGGCTCACTTACTTCCACAAAAACACCTCCTTTTCTCTCTTTGCTTCAGGAATTTGACGAGGTTCCCGATTGCTACATTTCGTACACCGATTAACACATCCACACTCCTCAAATTTATGAAAAATATTCAAAACAGTTCTAGCAGAGGGGACTGGTTCATCGAGATATGAAAATATAAATCGACCAACGACTTCCTCTGCACTTTCTGCACGACAATACTATTAAATAATATTAATTTTTTGTTTGACACTGTACACCATTTTTATTTTGTAATATTCCGTCTACTTCTTACCAAAGGTTTGAGTGGAACAATAATAAAAATAAAACTAAACAAACAGCAAAGCGCTTTAGGTATTCGGTCGGTTCCCAAAAAATGCAACGGGGCACGTGCGCTTCCACGGTCAACCAATTACGAGAGTCCGAGTCGCAGCCTCGATGATATATGTCATATCCGACCCCTTCCACCTGAAGTTGATAGGAGAGATGCGTGTAATTTACTTAGTCTATGCGAAAGAATTACCTGGCCAGACCAGTAGAGTACCATAAATATATGGAGTATATCATTGTAATTTTGAATTATTTTTTGTGGCATACAGAATTTGTTTTTGTTAATTTTTGTGAACCATTTGTAATACTTTTACCTTGCTTGGCGATATGCGATATGCGTCTAAACTAATTCCAGCTGTTAACAATTAATATATCGCCAATCGTACAATTTGACAACTTTCCACTTTTCTCTCCATAATTAAGACAATTTTTTTTCTGGGAGTAGCCTTGCTACTGCATATCTATTGATCAGAGATAATATGAATTTGGTTAAACTGTAATATACTTTCCTTATTGTTACCTATTTTTTTGCATTTGTTCATCCCTAACCGTAATTTAAATATTACACAATAAGTCTTTTAGTTTCTTGCAGGTGGTTTGTTATTAAAAAGACCGGGAAGAGTGGGTCAGGCAGCATTATATGGTAGCGGATCATGGGCAGACAGTTTTGACAAAGTTTCGGAATCATCGGTAGCCGTGTGCACTACAGGCTGTGGCGAACACTTAGTTCAAACACAACTTGCTAAAGAAATAGCAGAAGACTTGAAACATTGCACTTGCCCAACGTCGGACTTACATAAGACAATGACTGATAAATTTTTAAAATCCAGATATCTGAAAAATGTTAAACAAAAAATGGGGGGTGCTTTAGTGCTCCATGTTAGCTTGAATGGTGAGGTGTCCATATTATGGGGTCACTCTACGGAAACCATGGCTGTAGGGTACATGAGGTATACTGACCAAAAACCACAGGTAAGATTACACAGGCCGACAATTTTCAGAACCAGAAACCAGACCTAATGTACCCGAAGAATTTTGGTGCACTGATTCGGAATCTGAGCTCAGAATTGGCGCATCACCTTAGGTTCTCGAGATATACCTTTTTGTCGTCTAATTGGAACATTTATTATTATTATTATTATTATTATTATTTGTTTTTTTTAATTCCAAATATGTACATTTTGCCACTGTACACACCGCTGTTGTTTACTTGTTATTTGGAAGCGGTTTCTGATTTACGACCAAGCTCACCAGGTTAGTATTTGACGTACAACTAACCACTTTGTACATTCGATGCACCTGGGCGACTACGGCTACTACTAGAATGGTTCATCTTACGCGTCCTAAAAATGATGACACAATTTCCCTTTAATAAAAGACCAACAATTTTTTGCTCTACATTGCATCGTATACAAACCTACTATAGATCCGGTTTCCGGTTCTGGACTTTTGTAAAATTTTATCGGCCCGTGTTATTTATTAAATATTTCTAAAATAAAAAGGAAATTTTTTTTTCAGAGTATAATTTCTGAACTGCCTAATGGAGCTCAAGTTGGCCAAACTGTGAATATAAGTGGATCTCATTTCTTCATTAATAAAAACTCACAGTAATACCATTTTATTTATCTGCTAATTATATGAAAGGAAAATTATTTTAGGTAGAAGAAAGACGTGATATGTTATATACATAAAAATTTAATTTTTCTGTGTATATCATACATGGTTAAAACATTTGGCAAAATATACTCAGTAAATTTGTAATCGCACTAATACTTATTTAATAAAAGGTTTGTGCGTTTTTCTTTCTTTCTTAATACACGTATATTCAATTTAATAAATTCAAAGCGGGCAAGAAAAGTTAATACATATAACATTGAAGGCATTTGGTAAATACTATACGACTTCATTATTAACATAAAAGAAATTCAAAATTAATCCACAAAAATCTTAAGGTGAGTTAAAGCGAACAAAGTCTTTGAAATTGGTAAAAATACTGTTAAAACGTAAAAATTAATTTTAAGTACACTGGTAAATTATTTGTTTCGAGATCAATATTTTTATAATCATTGCCATCGACAGCATTTTTGATTCTTGAGGAGCACATTATTTTCAAAACGGTAGCTACATGGTATAATGATTTTAAGAATACAAATCAGTCTAAAATTGTGATAATGGAATGTAAGTAAAGTCATGGTAAATACAAAACTGTCAATAAAGTTTTCCAAAAATCTTCATTCGAATACACACAAAATAAATATATACATATACTCTATTTAAAGCAGACTTAAAGCTTCAGTTGGATATTCTACGGGGTATTCTACACGATAAACATTAAAATTATCCTATACCTGGAATATTGTTAAAGTATGTTTTTGGAAGACAAGTTGTATTTGTGAATTTGTAAGTCAGTCATTCTAAAAATTGAACTGTGTAAATCAGTCTTTATATCTTATGAAACACTGGTATCAAGTTTAGACTAGGGTTGAGTGGAATTTTAATTTTCGACATTAAATCTCATAAAACTGAGTGAAATGTCCTGAATGCAAAGCAAATTATATGAAATTAATGCACTCGTCAAGAAAATATGTTAAAAGGGGGCATGTAGAAAGACATAGGCCCCCACCAGTTTTTACCCCTCGATTGTGAAATTTAATATTATTAATTATTCTTAAAAACTAACATTTAATAATTAAGGCCCTTTCATTTTTTGAGGTCTGTATACGCCACCGTTTGACGATATAAAAATATCAGGTATAAAGTAACTATTATTTCTAAGTTCAGAAATGCCATTTAGTATCTTAAAATGGAAGAACTTTTTTGGGTGATGTGCAGATATTCAAAAAAGTGAGAAAATCTTTTTTAAATAACATGGTAACTCGGTTTATTTAAGGGGTAAAGCCACCAGAATTTTGAGTTTTTTTTTCGAGGTGGAGCGCAACCAATCACAGCACACTGCAACTCCTGAAAACACATGCGATAGCTACTATAGAGGTCAGATCGAGTCTCAGATCAAACTGAAAAGAGGAGGATGAAGAAAATGTCATTATAGAATGCCAGTTATTATGGTGCAGGCATCGCTAATTGAAGGTATACATATAATGAATTTCTTACGCTGAGGGGCAACAAACACAGTTTGTCTAAATATGAATTAATGCACAAATAACAGACTTTCCTCCATTTTAACGCAGATTTTCTACAAAATGGAGTTAGTTTGAAACATATTACTTTTTGTTGTTAAGAAATTTGTAATTTGCGGCGTTTGAACAAGCGGCATCGTAAATTACAAATTTCTTTCCACCAAAATGTAATTAGAGTCAAACTTACTCCATTTTATAGGAAATCTACGTTAAAATGGAGGAAAGTCTGTTTTTTGTGCATTAATTCATAGATACGCAAAATGTGTAATAAAACCTATAAAAATGTATTTCTAATTGCCTATTTGCTATAGATCCCTCTTAAAAGTGTTTTTTGAGAAACCACTTTTTTAACTGGCCAGAAACATAACTCAAAAAATTGTCAACAAATCAAATCGATTTGAACATTTTTACAGAGCTTCACAATAATGTAACTCAGGGAACATCATAGGAGTTTTTCAATTGAAAAATTTTCATTTTTATTAACAATTTAATGCAAAATTTTTAATCTTTCTTTCATCACTTTTTTTTAATGTTAACTAAATCAATATTTTTTAATTTCCCTATGATGATCCCTAGCTTTTAGTATATATCAGAAAATTTTTGATTTTTTTTTTGTTCCACGGTCATATAATAAAACCTTTTTGTTCCTAATACTTGTATCAATTTTTCCTTGAAAATTCCCAAAAACCACCCTTTTTCCAATCTCCAGAGTGGTGTTACCCCTTAATACCTATAGAAATACAAAGATACAAATTACACAAAAGAATACCAAAACTCTTGGTAGTACAAGTACAGCATGTTGGACAGATAATTCCAAATAAGAATCTATAAATCTGTAGTTTGCCTTCGTAGACTTATAAAAATTAGCGGAGAAAGTACTGAGTCATTAATTTTAAAATACTTGTACTTTAAATTTTTTGGCATACTGAGGCTTCATTAAAAAAAAATTATAATTAACTTTAAACCAGAGAACGCGTTAGGCGGTCGCGGTTCTGTCGCATCGCGATCCGTTCTGGCCTGAGCTGATCGCAGTCTTTTACAAAATCAGTCGTATTTGGCAATCGCACACAATCCTGCGCCGCGCTCTTCTTTAAATAGTTGAGATATTGTTTTAGTAGTTAAAAAAATGAGTTATATGGAAGAGGACGCTTGTCTCAATCGCATTGAGCTTCTTTGAAAACGATCGGTGGAGAACGTGATGCGAGCGCGACGAGCTCGGGAACGTCTAGTGCGAATGCATACATTAGAAAACATGGGAAGGAACTCCACCGCGCGCGATCGAGACTAGCACGGACCACGATGCGACAGGACCGGGACCGCCTAATGCGTTCTCTGCTTTAAAGTGCAATACATTTTAGTGCTGGCAAAAACCGAAAAAAAGTGAAACCGGATTCTGCAAAAACCGATTTCAGACAAAGCCGGTTAGCCGAATAGTGGTTAAAACCGGATATTCTAAAACTGGTTAACCAAATAACCGGTTACTCGAATAATGGCCAAAACCGGATATCTGAAAATTGGTGTTTTGAAAATTTGATGACGTTATTCACATATTTTAAATCTTAAAGTGAAATCTAATGTTAAAAGCTAAAATGTTAAAACATTTACACTTAAGGAACTGTGGTTCTTCAATTCATTATTTATATAAATGGGTTTGGTGGTCATGTATGTGGGTGTGGGTGATTGTTTTTTTTATCAATTTGTGTCTGTGTCCCAGGATAAAATATAAAAAAAATTGTAATTCCCTTTATAGTTCGACCTAATTTTTGTAATAGGTATCTACTATGTAACCCATGGCAATAACTACATGACACTAAGACGATATTATAGTGTCGTGTAGTTATTGGCTATAAAGAAAGAATCCTATTATTCGGATGTTTGAATGAACAGATTATCGAATAACCAGTTATTTTAATAATCGGAAAACCGGTTGTTGTAAAAATCCGAGTTATCCGAAACCGGTTAACCAAATATCCTAAAAACCGACTTCAGTTGTTGATATCAGCAATACTAAATTTTCAGTTGCATTGGCAATAACTTAAAAATCTTTAATTTTCAATCACGTGAATAGTGACATTCAATGTAAACGAATCATTAATGTTGGTGATGCTGCGATTTAGGGATTTTTAGTTGACATCCTGTAATGTTGATGGCCTAATATTGGCAGTCATCTGACTTATAAACATTTATGAAACCTCTGTAATATAAAAACAGTGTTTATTGGATCAGAAACGTTTTTTGTCCTTGACTGTACCTGTACATCCATTCACTTTATTTTTTTTATACTGTTGCAAATATTCCATACATTTTCATTCAAAAATATGAAATTTAAAATTTATTGCCGAAATCGGTATATTTTGGGAATATTTCCAAAAAAATATCTTCCCGAAAATTTCCCATCGCTAATTAAATTTTTAGTCAAACATCACCCAAGGGCATATTACTGAACTGGATTATTTTGTTTTGAAAAGATCTCTCACATTTAGGATATTGCTTGAAAGCAATTATATTCCGATTAAAACAACCTATTATTGAATAATTAAACTACATTACTCACCTTGGTAAATAACGTATTGAAAGAAAATCTAAAGATACATCCTCAAAACAAATAAAATAAAATAAATAAGACCTATAAATAAGTTATCTCAAACACAACCATATTCATACCACACAGCCGTTTCTTTAGCATTCTTTGATTTTTCCTTGTCGTTATTCGTTGTTTCTTTCATGTTCTCTTCCGCTTGCTGCGGTTGAGGTGGCGAGACCCTTTGCGGCTCAGCAATCGTCGTAGATATTCTATTGTAAACCAATAAAGGGGGAGTGGCTGTATTAGCCTGATTATTTTGGTTGGGCGTGGATGTTGTAACCGGAGGCGGCGTATCTTCCTCTGATAAATAAACCGTTCGCCGAGATCCAACGGAACCCAGGCTGAGCGCACTACCTGGTTCCCGACAATACATTTGATCACCTAAATAGCGGGCATTAAAGAAATATAGGAAGGAAATTTATTTACATTCACGTACCAGCCACACTGTTCCGATGTCCTGTTAAATCCCTGTGGGATCGCCTTAAAGCCACTTCATCTCTAGGTTTGTGGCCGTGCAAGCTCCCGCTTGAACTTACGTTTCTCCTAAATGGTTCGGTTCGGTTACCAGTATCTTCGGTACTGTTATCGGAGTTATTCCCGTTTGATTCCCCCGATCCATCGCCCAACAAAGTAAACTGAGACTGGGTTAGTCTGGCGGTATCTTCGTGCCAGGACCTTCGATTCTGAAAAATCACAACACATTGTTCACTTCCAGATTTGTTACCGAGGAACAGAACAGAAAGGTATTTTGTTCAAGAAGACAATCTTTTAATGTCTAAAAAAACACAGTCAGTGTACAACATCCCAAAAACTTACCCTGCTTGGGACTTTATTTATAATATCAGAACCGGCTTTTCTGACCCTTCGCACCAAAGTAGCTCCAAATCCCCTCCTGAAAAAAAAATAATGCTTACACCGAGTATAGACAGCGGGTCAATTTCGACACTTGAAGGTACCGTACAGCGTGGTGCGTGTGGCCTACGTCTACCACGCACTAGATTATAAAAAAACTGCTCCAGCCATGCTAGAGTCTAGTTGCAAATCGCAGTGAGTCTACGATCGCTCAATCTGGAGTGTCCCCGGGTGTTTCCGCTTTAGCAAATAGGCAAACAGCAATACATTTTTATAGATTTTATTGCAGTTTGTCTAAATTTGAATCAATGCACAAATAATAGACTCCTCCATTCTAAAGCAGATTTTCTATAAAATAGAGTTAGTTGAAACTCAAATTACTTTTTGTTGTAAGGAAATTTGTAATTTGCCGCTTTTGAACAAGCGGCATCGTAAATTACAAATTTCTTTACACCAAAAAGTTATTGAGTTTCAAACTAAGTCCATTTTATAGAAAATCTACGTTAAAAGGGGGGAAAGTCTGATATTTGTGCATTAATTCATATTTAGACAAACTGTGTAGTAAAATCTATAAAAATATATTGCTGGTTGCCTATTTATTATAAAGCCCTCTTAACTCTAAATGTTGTTTTTTTATTTCATTATCATTTATCACCTGCTGCAGTGAATAAGAAAATAATCGACATTCAAAAGCTTAAATTCAACACTTTCTAGTGCTTTTTGAAAAGGAATTTGTAACCTAAAAGAAGGCTTTGCTCCATACTTCAATGACCTAAAAGGCTATAAAAAGCTAAGAGAGCTTTGATCCAAACTTAAGCAAACTAAAAGAGGGTTTTACCCTATACATACTTAGATCATAAAGAGGGCTTTGCCCCAAGTTTTAAAGAATAGAAAAGAAGGCCTAACCCAATGCTAGAAGATTCATAACATTATGGACAAGCTAGTCGGAGGAATCACAAGGACGAAGCCAGACCTATTCCGCACCGACGGCCTCTTACGTCGAAAAGGAGCACAAAGGATATCTTGTATTTCCCGTGAAGAAAGAAAAAATGCAGTTAAGATAAAAAATTAACAGGAAAAATCATATCTCAATATATTGGTTCATTTATAATAGATGTTTTACATTGACAATTTATTGATCAATTAATTCATGAAGTCGCTTCATCAAGAAATTGGACAAGTGTAATGCACCAAATCAGCTGTCAAATAACTTCATGAATTTATTCATCAAGTTCTTGACGAATTAGAGCATGTTCTAATTTTCGTCAATTTCTTCATGAAGTTCGGAAGTACCAACCCAACGAATTTCCAGCCTCAGATCAGTAATGAGGTTATGTTATTGGAATATGTAAATAATTGTGTGGCGTCGTGCTAGTTTCGCATTGTTTTTACCGATTTGTTACTTACAAAAACTAATATTTATATAATATGTGTCAGAACGGTACCGCTGTTGTATCACTACAATTATGAGTGGAAAGGTGACATTTTTGAAATTTATTTGCTTTTTTGATTCATTGGTATAACCGATTCAGGCGTCAAAAAACTTGACAAAGTCCGTAGCAGTGTAAAACCACGCTGTTTATCAATAAATTCGTGAATTAATTGATGAAGAACTTCGTTAATTTATTGATGAATAAATTGTCAATGTAAAACAGCTTTTAAACAAAGGGCATTATTAATTTTTTATCATTTTCTGTAAAGTTGAATAACTACTAAATATTAGCAAAGAATTTGGAATTTTGTAACAATTATCGTACAAAAAAAAGCACAAACATTTCAAATAAATTTTTCTCACATATGGTACACCCTATTACAAAAGTATCTCTTTAATCTAGAATACTCTGAAGTTTTCAATTTTGATATTAAAAATACCAAATAGTTGAAGATCAAATGAATATAATTGAAAATATCAGTTACCCCTCCCAAATGTGACATCTATGGTTACAATTAAAAATCATTTTTGTCCGTATAAGATTTAACACATAACCTAAGTTTGATTCTTCTAAATCAGCGGTCGGCAACTGGCGGAAAAAAATTTTTTTAAAGTATAATTACTCAAATTATTTAAAAATATATTTTGTCTATGGATAACATTGATAACAATAATACGTTTCGAGTGCCACCATTATCATTTTTTAATGATTAGTAGGTTAGTAAAAAACTGACTCAAGACCACAAATGTAATTTCTCCATCAATTTTCTAATACAAATATGAGTAACACTTGTTTATTTTTAAAGTATTGTAATAATAGGAATCAATATATATTTTATTTTGTAATGAAAACTATCGTGGTTACTTTGAATCAAACCTCAGCTGTTCACACAGAATGTGCCAGCCAAGTGTTTATTTGCTCTTGGGATAATGTAATTTGTGAGTACCAAAATGTAGGCCGATGCCAAAACTGTTCTTTGTGACAGTGGTGCCTGGCCAGCACCCGAATAAGTTTGATTATTATATGTGTGTGCTAGCTTGAATGCATTTGTTTAATGAATTGTGAATTTGTGAGTAATATGCCATACTTGTTTATGAAAACCCCATGGCATGCCACCTGTTTCTGGTCTTAATGGCTGTGGTTTCTTCAAAACGTGCCTTTAAGTTCTACGGGGTCTTACCTATGCTTCGATTGACATACTGGTGGTGTTGAGATAGGTGGCATAATAATATGACTCACACATGCGGTAGTTAGGATGCTAACTAGTTAGCGTCCGGGGAGCCTCGATTTATTTCAGGTGAGTTGTTGAAGAAAGAATGATACATGTTTGCTAATTAATATAATGGAAATGTATGGAAGGATGTACCTTGACTCCTACAGTTAGGGGGAGTGTTTTTATTGACAGAACAATAACTTTGATATTTGTTTCATATACCCTCTTAATTTCTGACGAATAACCCAACTGTTGTCGAGATAAACTGCTTTGTGATGACCCATGTATAAAATACAATAACATTTATTTTACATAATTATGCCTATCTATTGTATTTCATATTATTTTGTGATTGCAAATTAAAACAAAAAATTAGTAAGGTATACGAGTTTTTTTCCTGGACCTCGTTAAAAATTTTCAAAAGTATCCGGACTCCACCTAAAATTACTTGCCAACCCCTGTTCTAGATAAACAAAGATATGAACAACTAAGAAAAACAATGTCAAAGGGCCATCTTCAAAGAGGCCTCCTTTAGAAAGCATTTTTGGATAAAACGATATACAGGGTCGGAAAGTCCCCATGGTTCATTGGCCGTTATGTGAGAGCGATAAAGTGATAGAAATCCGTGTGATAGAGAAAGATGGCTATAATGAATATATATACATATAATGAAATAAGAAGCGGTTCTTATTTGTGGAAGGGCGAAATGGGCGGTGACTATTAGACCTATTCATTATAGCCATCTTTCTCTATCGCACGGATTTCTATGACTTTCTTTATCACTCTCACGTAACGGCCGATGAACCATGGGGACTTTCCGACCCTGTATGTCAAATTGATATGAAATCATCCCTAAAATTTGCTGTCTTTGTTTGTCAGTTTAGTTTCTGGACACCCTGTATAAAACATCAAAACACTGCTACAAGGAAATAAATTATAACAAATATAAAAAATACGGATACGCAGATATTTAGAAGACCGACTTACTTTTTTGACGAAGCATTGTCCAGTTTCCTGTAATGCTCCATAATTTTCTCCTCCAACTTCTCCTTCTGTCTGCACAGGTTGTTCACTTTATCCGTATAGAGCTTTTCCTCGATATGGTAGTGCTGCTTGTCCTCTAAAGAGTGTGTTAGGAGGGAGTGATATTGCGATAATAGTTGCGAAACGTGATCCATCAATGCCCTCCTGTCGCTGTCTAGGGAATGGTTCATCTCGAATAACATCTAAAAATAATAAATTTACTAGGTAATAAGATATCATTTTTAAATTTCAAAATATTGCTTGTAAGTTAAATTAATTTAGAACGCTTACATCGCACTTCTGTTGCAGTTTCGCATTTTCCAGTTGCAAACTCGCCACGTGATCTGACCTCGTGTTGAGTTCTCCCTGCATTTCAGTCTGCCCTAGTCTCAAGTTTCTCAATTCTGTTCGCAATGATTTTAGTTCCTCCTGAACTGCCCTGTATTCCTGTTTCAATCGTTCACTAGCAGTGAATAAGTTTCTAAAATCATCCTAAAATTTATAAAAAAACAGATTATTAGTAATTCATTATTTTGTTTTAGCTTGGTATTACTCGCCTTTAATTTTGAATGTTCTGCTCTCAAATTGGCCAAGCTCCTTGCATCCGTTTTCAAATTATCCTTTTCCAAATCCAAGTTTATAATTTTTGATTCCAAATTACTGTTGGTGTCTTTAAGTGTTCGCATCTCAGACCTTAGATCTCGTGCAATTTTCTTCAGACTCTCCTGTTCATGTTTCGCCTCTTCGTACTCCATACTTAGTTGCTCATGCAAAGTGCGCAAGGTGACTTGATCAAGCAATAAAGTGTCATGTTGATTATTTTGAATTTGTTGTTTTTTAAACAACTAAAAAAACAATGTTTGTTAACGGGTTAGTTATATCATTTTGAATAATTGTTTTTTCAATTTTTTTTTTTATTGGCATAAAATACACTAAAACATTCCTAGATTCATAATCAACAACTTTTTTGCATGAAATGACTCAGAAATATCCATAAAATTAATTTTTCCGAAGCAATTCCGAAGCGTAAAAATAACAGATTTCGCTTCTATCGTCGATACAGCATTTTTGAATTTCCTGCACGTAAAAACCCTTATAACTTACTGATCATCGAGAAAATACTTCAAAGGTGAACTATAGATGTCATCACAAGCAAAAAACTAAAACGTTATTATACACGGCGCTTCAAAAGCGTTTTTTCCAAAACCATGTTTTTGAAATCGGCGAGCAGAAGAACTCAAAGAGTTTTCATCCGATCGACTTGAAAATTGAACTGTAACTTCGTGTGATTTTTACAACTGGTCAACAGGATTTTTTTTTTATACTCAAGTCGATTTTTTTGTTGAAAATTCGAATTTTTTGTTCAAGATCTCGCCAGTTTGCGAACAAAATTCTTAAAATTGTGACCGTGTGTACTTCACTAGCTAAACTCATGTAGTTTATGAAAAAAAAATTTTATGCTTCCAGATGGTGATCCAGACTTCTGCTCGCCGCGAAGAACGTTTGAAAAATTTAGTTCTGTTCATGCGCTCCTACAGCCGCCATTTTGCAACAAGTTTTCAATTAAAGAAAATTTTTCTTACTGCTGAAGAGTTGCTTAACTAAAAATTCTCAAAAAAAAAAAAAATATTATTTCGCCCAAAACGCAATTTTCGCGGCGTCATATTTTTCTTTACGTCGACTGCCGGCACCCTTGCTTAAGTTTTATTAGGTCAAATGTAACAAAATTTAAGACGAGATTAAGAATGTTTTGACACAAACTGTCACTGCGGTAGAAACGTCAGAATTGTCAAAACTGAATTTTCTGATTCCGACATTCCCCGCGGCTCCAGTATGGCGATTAACGTATTTTATATTTTATATCGTTCCGAGTCCTTCGCAGACGATTTTACAGCAGAAAACTACAATTTTTAACATTACAAAAATTTTTGTTTACTTCGGCAATCCATGAACGGGAATTCAAATACCAATACAGACAAACTCTGTATAGAGACGGTGATGGCTAAGCAGTGAGTGTCACGTTGCAGCCCGGAAGTCGACGGTTCGAATCTCGCACGGGATTCTTGAGAATTTTTTTTTACTTATTGCCGTATTTTAGTTTGAGGATGGAGGTTTCTTTTTAAATCTCTCCATAAGAAAAATATATGGGTTTTTATACACAGGATGTCTAAAAATATTGCATTGTTGTTATATTTCGCAACCGGCGAGGAAAGTGCCACGTAGCGGTGCTCATGCCGCGAGAGCCAAAGGCCCGAGACAAAGGTCAACTCCGCGTCAGCGGAGTTTACCGACCTTTCTAGTACTTATATTAAAATTGAAAGATTGAATAAATGTTTTATTACCTCATCTTTTTCTGCAACCAACTGACTATTTGCCAACTGTAGGGCAGTCTGCTGGGTCTGTAACGAATTAACTTGAGACTTCAAAGTGGATACATCAACCTTTAGAGTAGCATTTTCATTCTGCAAACCATCGTTCAAGCTTTGCAAACTGGCAATTTCCGAATATAACTTATCGCACTGTTTGCTCCATTCGGCACTAATGGACGACGCCACTTCCTCAGCTTGCAATAGCACATCGCTGTGTATGTTCTCAGCACATTTCTTACATGGTTCGTCTTCCTCGATCTGTGTTTTAAAAATAGATAATAAATTACTGGAGATTTCAGGATTAGTGAGCATTTTTTCCACGATCACATTGATATCGTTGTCCAAAACTTCTGGGTTGAGCCCCAACTTTTCCAGATTGCTCTTGAATTTTTCATTATTGATTTTTTCGTTGATTAAGTCTTTTTGAAGGGTAGCTATGGTCTCTGCATGGACGGAAGCCTGCGAGATGAGTTCCTGAGCTCTTTGTTCGACTTCCTGCAATTTCTCTATGTGGATTGTTAGGCTGGTGAACTCTTTGTTCAATCTTTGGATTTCTTTTTCTTGCTTTGTGCTCTTTTCCACATTTTGGTCCAAGATTACGTCTTTCGTCTAAAAATAAATATATTTTAGTGTAACCAACATATATTTTGTAAAAAACAGAAAAATTATAATACTTTACTCGACGGCCGAAAATATAGATAGTGATTCATACATAATATAGAAACACTATTACCGTAAAGTGTATAAAACTTAAAATGATTTTTATAACGGTTCAATATTATTTGCTTATGTTAAATGATGTGCCGCTCTCTTTGCACATCGATAGGATCTACAACAGTCATAGACTGAGTTACACTGAACGCGATTTATTTCCTATCTCTGTCTATCGCACTTATTACAGATAGGGAAATGCTCTTTTTAGGGTGTAAATGGACGTACGTAGAATTCGAGTTAGCCGTAGTTAGAAACGTCAAACTATAAACACGCGCGAGGGTTTGCATATTCCGTGACTATAGTAAATTTATAAATTAAAAAAATACAATCGGGACGTTTTAAAACGTAGGAATAATAATTAAAATGGATCAAAGTGCCGGCTGTAGCAAACGGTCTGTTGCTCATAAACGCCCTAACCTATGCGATGCGGAAATAATAATGGTAAAAAACGTGTATAAAGGAATTCGGTCGTGAAATTCTAATACAAGTGTAAGTGAAGCTGTTGATATATGTGTAGTTCGTTGACAAAAGTATCCGTTGCTACTGTTTATCGTGCCATAAAAAATAGTGTAGAAGTGAATCCAAAGAAGAAAAAAGTGGAAACACGAGGGAGGAAGAAAATAGAAGTCGACGTTGACGTGAAATACTGCATACGTAGGAAAATTCATGGATTTTTCTTTAGAAATGAAATACCAACGATAAAGAAAATTCAAGCTGCAATAGCTGAACATAAGGATATTCCTAAGCTCTCTGATAAGGTTCTTAGAAGAATAATGCGTGACTTGAATTTTCGATATTTTAAACGAAATCGGAATAGTATGCTCGTTGAAAAAGACAAAATTGTGGTATGGCGAAGAGAATACTTAGAAAAAATAAGAGAACTTCGTGCATCTGGAGAAAATGGTTTGCATGTATTTGAGTCACGAAAAACGGGAGATTATCATGAAGATATGAACAGGGACGTGTTTGAAAAATGGTTTGAATATGTTTTATCACATCTGGAGCCAGGAGCAGTTGTTGTGATGGATAACGCACCTTATCATAGTAGAAGAGTTGAAATGTTACCGACATCAGCATGGAGAAAAGGAAATATTATGGACTGGTTACAATCGAAAAATATTGAATATACAGAAACCATGCTAAAAGTACAATTATTAAAAATTGTCCAAAGAGAAAAAGGTCAATACATTAAGTATGTAGTGGATGAGATGGCCAAAGATCGAGGAATTCGTGTACTCCGTTTACCGCCATACCACTGTGAATTAAACCCAATTGAGTTGGTTTGGGCACAAATAAAGAATGAAATCGCACGAAAAAACACCACCTTTAAAATAAACGACGTGAAATTATTATTACAGGATGCTATTAATCACGTCACTGCTGAAACATGGTGTAAGTGTATTGGACATGCACAGAAAGAGGAACAACGTATGTGGGATCTTGATACAACGGTAGAAGTGTTCATAGAACCAGTCATTATTCATTTGGGTGAAGATGATTCTAGTGATAGTGATAGCAACAGTGATATGTGAAATATATAATGTGAATAATGTGATATGTAAGTATTTAAATTATTAATAGTGAAGTGATTATGTGGCAGTGAAGTGAAAGTGTGACAGTGATAATATTCGTGAGATAATTATTATAAAATATGTAAGTACCTACTTAAATAAATATATTAATAGTAAACATTACAATATTTTGCGGCGGCGTAAGCCGGGTGGTGGTGGGTTATCGATGCCCAAGAGGGCATCGTTTTATAGAAAACACTTAAAATTTAAAAACAAAATGTTACTAAAATATTTTTGAAGTTTTCTCCATAAAACCTCTAAAAATAATAGATAGTTTTATTATATTTTTTCCATATTTTCTACATCTTGTTGCCTTTTACGTATACACGCCTATGGATGTTCGATCCCCGCACGCCTCATCCTCCTTACTAGTCCAAGAGCTAGCGATGAATCACTATCTATAATTTCGGCTGTCGAGTATAGACCCATTTATTAACCCTTTCACTGCTCCAGACGTATATATTCGCTAAAAATTTATAGGGCTCAAACTGCTCCAGACGGATAAATTCGCATGAATAGTTAAATTGGATCAGGCTGCTCAAACCGTATATATTCGCAACCGTGCGCATAGTGACTCGGTTATTGCAATTGGTAAGGCGAATTTTTGCGGGCGAGCTTATACCGATTGTGGCAAATATTTTTATGGAAAGAGGTACTGGTAATAGTACCAAGATTGTTCATGTTTCTTTCAGTTTCTATTTAGTACATATACTGCATTTTATTCAAAATAAAATCGTAAAATTTATCGTAAATCGTAATTTAACACAACATAATGTAAAACTATAAGTGGTCTAACTGCTCCAGACGTATATATTCGCACGCGATAAACAATCGCGCACGGCGCGGTAGCTACGTTCAGACGTATTGCGCAGTGAAAGGGTTAAAGAGTGACGCAAAATTTCGTCTGTTTCGTCGACCTCACAAATTCGATTCAAAAGTGGTCTAAATAATAGCTTGTAGTGATACTTTAGAGTAGGCAAAATTTTAAGTTGAGCATAGTTTTGTGTTTTGGAGATATGACTAGTCGAACCTGTTAGTTGGCTTGTTCACGCTAAGATGAATGCAACATTCTCGGCACACTCGTTCATCGTGTTGAAGATTCTCAAATATGCAAAATGTACCATTTCCTATGTAAAATCGTTCGTTCTTTATGAATCTACCATTAGATTTTACCAAATACTTTGTTTTAATGAGGTACTGCCGATTTTACAGAAAAATCAGGATTTTTGCTGAAAATATTCAATTATGCGGTATTTTTATACTGGAGACTTACAAAATCTTGATAGCAGCAAAAAACTGATTGCTCGCCACACAGAGTGACTTCTTTAAGAGTTTTGCTATATCTTTTAAGTGGATATATAAATCCATCAAGATTTGCTATGTTTTCAGTACAAAAATATCGTTAAATCAAAGATATTTAGCAAACATGCAAATTATTTTTTACAAAAATCTTTTATAACTTTCTTGTCTATATTTTTGGTAAAATATAATGAAAGATTCAAAAAGAACAGAAAATTTTACTTTACAAATGTTACTGCTTGTATTTGTTGAGAATTCTAAGATAACGGAAGAGGTCACCAAGAATGTCGAATTCGCCTTGGCGTGGATGAATCAAATAAGGAGTTTAACTTGCCATACTCTAAAAATTGAATGTATGCTCAACTTAAAATTTCGCTTACATTAAACTATCACTATAAGCTATCATTTAGACCACTTTTGAATTGTTTTCTTGAGGTCGACGAAATGGGCGAAAAATAGGGTTTCTTTTTGAGTCACTCTTTATGTCACACTCTAAGATTTGCATAACATTTTGACAGACTACTTTTGATCAAGATAAGGAAAATTAACTGAAAATTAAAAAATTTTATTGCATTTTTTATTAAAAGATATAAAGCAAAAAATGTTGAATATTTTTAAGTACTCTGTTAAAAATAAGAAATATAATTAAAAATAAAATCAAAAATGGATGGCTCAAATTTGAAAAAAGTTGCACCATTAAAAGACCACTAAAATGATATAAACAGATTTCAGATGTATTTTTTAATTTTTGAAATATTTTGAAAAAAAAAACAAAAACACATTTTTTTTTATCACAGCTGCAACAAAAAGCAGCTTTTTCTATAGAGTGGTACTTTAAGTGGGGGAGGTAGTTTTTTAAAGGAAATAGTACGTGTTCCTCAGCATATTAATCTGAAATTGTTTCTTTTGTTTCTAACAAAAGAATTTTTACTATTTTTTTAAGGACTGTATGTAGTTTGTGAATCACAACATCAATAACCCTTTGAAATTGACCTAGTTCGGGTGAACTATATTTATAACAATCCATATGATGAAATATGACAATATGGTTCTTGTCCGGCAAAAAACAAACGGTCATTAATCCTACTAAATAAGGACGACCCAATATGTCATAATTTAATTTTCTCACATTTATTTTAGATTTTTCTATATGGGTACGTGGGTACACATGTCTGCAAGTGACCCATTTTAAGTACTACATCAAGAGCACCAGCTTGACACCGCCTGGAACACGAGGCTTCCAGGAAGGAACTACGGCGGATTGGTACCGGCGAGCAGATGTTTACTCAGATACCTGCAAACGAGTCCATACCACAAAGACTCTCCAGCGAATGCTTGCTCTGACAACACGTCTTTTTCACAAACTTTGTTTTTAATTTTGCTGTACACCGAAAGCAACCCTCAGATACACGAAAATTTATTTGTAATACGGTGGGTAATTTTACCGTTTCCTGTGTGAAATATTAATTTTTACCAAAATCAAAATAGAATTTGTATAGTTGTTTTATAAAGTTTAATTTACAGTAAAATTTAAAGTGGTATTTAATGGAATGTAACTAACCTTATAGTTATTTGTTTATGTTTAGGAACCGTACGGTGTGTTTGTGTGTCTTCATTGTTAAATTTCTGTGTGATATAATGAAAAAACATGTAAACGAGTAAAGAAAGATGAGGTTTGACAACTGTGCATAGTTATAAAATTTAACTCACCTCAATAATTTCCTTTAACTTGGAAATCTCCTTTTGCATCCCTAAATTCTCCTTCTCTAAGCTAGTAACTTTGTCTTTCATTTCATTTCCCAATTTTTCCAATTCTTTCCCCTTATCGGCTAGAACCTGCGCAGCGTGTAACTGACTCGTAATTTGACTTAAGGATTTTTCTGCGTCATCGGCCCTCTTCTTTATAGTATCACACAGTAACTGAACCCTTTGTTTATCCTTAGTAAGGGATTCAATATTCTTCTCCAAGTCGTTTATTTTAACCCTTTCGTTTTGAATATCCGTGTTCTGCCTATCCGAAATCACCTTAATGCTATCGAGGCTGTCCTGCAGCTTCCGATTCTCTTGTATGGCGTTCTTGAACAGATTTTCTAATTCCCCGTTCTGTTGTGAGAGTCTGTCGCAGTTTTCCTGGAGTTGTTCGCATTTCAGCATCAATTTTTTCTTTTCTTTTTCTAATTCTAGGAGTTTGCTAGCACTTTCGTGGAAGGAACTTTCTTTCAGAGAATCAATGGTGGACAGTAATCTCTTGTTCTCTAATTCTAATCTTAAGGCACGCGCTTGTGCGTTGTTGGTCAACTGTTCCGACAGACTATTGTCACCTGAATTCGTTTCTTCATTCTCTGAGTCGGCACCAGATGTATTTAAGATGCTCGTTTCTTGTAGAGCTGATTTGGTCACCTGTTGAAGTTGAAGGTTTTCATCTAATAATTCCTGGACTCTTTCTCTGGCAGCATCCCTTTCCTAAAAACGAAAGTGCAAAAGGATTAAAGAGAACTATAAACTGCTTCTTAAAAAAACAATTCCCTATAAAATGAAAATGAATATGTCACCGTTCCGTTTTATTACATTTAATTCAGTTTGCAGTTCATCGGTTTACGAAACGGTATTTGTAATTGGGTAAGTAATTTTACAATTTTCTGCATTGAGTATAAATGTTTCAGTATGTTTTCATTGATAAATTATTATGATATTATGAAAGAATATGTATACAAATAATTATGAAAAATGAGAATTAACAACAATGCATGTTCCAACTCAAAAAATGAATAGATAAAGAAAAAAATTGTGAACAACCCTATATTTTCAAAACGAATTGGACCCACGAATTTTTGCTATTTTATATATTTTTGTATATTTATGTATGAAGAATCTCCCCTCAACTAATGGCATACGGTTTTTGATACAATTTTCATTGGTTTTTAAGTATTTTTTTTAAATAAATATTCTTCAAAATTAATTTTTTGTCATATTAAATTGCTACTGGTAAAAATTGTAATAATTATTTGACCCACTCCCTTACCGATTAAAAATTATTTTCTTTTTGATTTTTTTTTTTGTATTAAAACATTTGCCTTTTCATTATTCTAAATCATAATTTTATTTTAAAATAATAAATTTTTTAAAAACTTACAAAAATGAAGTCTTAAAAATTAAAAACCAAATAATACAATGAATAAAATCAATTATTTTATTAGATAACATTTTAACCAGCACAATTTAATGTGAAAATTAATTTTAAGGAAATTATAACCTTTTCCTTTAGAAAAATACTTCGGTTCAAATATCTCGGGAACCAATTATTTTTCAGAAATTGTTTATACAGACAATTGACGTCAACTCGTATCGTTATTATTATTTAATTGCATGTTCGTCTCACATTGAACGTCGCAATGTCTATTTGTATTATCAAATTGTTGAATATCTGAATAAAGTATATATTTTTAATTTTAATCCAAAAATATGCCTCTAATAAGGCAGGCCCGGGGACGTGGCTGTGGCAGCCTACCAGAGACCTGGGTCGCTCAACATTTTCCGCATGCGTGTGGTCCCCGATAAATGGTAATGAGAACAGAGCAAAGAAAATCTCTGTAACTCAAGACCATGCTATCATACATAAACTGTACGAGACTTTGCCACCAAGCCACCCGTGTAGTCAATAGGATGGATTGAAGAAAAGTACTCGAGTAATGAAGAAGGGTGTACAAGGGGCCTAATAAGGCCTAAGTGCCGTGGTGGAAAACAATTCCACCACCCTCCGACATACATACATACATACATGCCTCTAATAATTTTTATTATTATCACAGTTTGATAACCCCGAAATAGAACATATGTTTCAATTCTGGGCCCAAACGCACGACCCGTCAAAGTCCAGGTATTACAGCAACCGCAAGACCGCATCTAAGCCCGCAGTCAGGGACCACACCTTGGACGAACAACGTTGACGACTGCCCTAACTCCCTACCATCGGTTTTCTAATTTACGCAATCTTAGTTTTTTAAATTTTTGTTGTAATTCCCACGTTGGACATATGATGTTTAAGTGTACTGAAAATTACACTGCGAATTATTTTATTTATTTCCGAAAGAAAAATTGCAGTTGAATTCTTTTTTTTTTAATACAGGCTTTGTGGGAGCTCAACAAATTCTTTTGGTGACCAATTTGTTGGAACCGTTCCCCAACAACTGATCACCTGGTGTTCCTTAGTTCCAAAATAAAATAAAAGCAAAAATCTTTGCGATGTTTCACCGTTGAAGTGCCAGAGTTAATTTGGAATAAAATGAAAATATTCCGCTAAGATGCGCAATGTGTCCCTTTGGAGAGTCAGACACCAACTCATTCGAACACGGAAGTCGAGCAACTTTTACACTAAATCTTGCACACACGTTCTGTGAGAGTGGCGTCACGAGAAGAATTCAACAACCATTAGATTCCGACGATACAATGATCAGTATTTAAAAGTTTTTCACATAGACCACTTTCAAAAGCTTCCATCATACTAAAATTTCTTCGTTTTGCTACAGCATCTATATCTGCCACTATGAAAAGATATTTAATCTGTAGTCACAACCGAAATCATATATATGAAGTACATAATGCGATATCGAACTGAAGAGTTTTAAATGGAACACTGTGTACATTAAAAAATGTGCAAACTTTTTTTTGTGGAACTAAATTACAAAATCGATATTAAAATTAATAACTTACCAAAACAATTTCATTAATACTTTGCTTGCAATTCAAAAGTTCCGCTTCTAATTCCAAAACGTGATCTGCCCTTTGCCTAGCTCGAGCCAGTTGAGATTCAAGCATCTCCCTTGTTTCAAGCAATACCCTGTTATCTTCCCTCAATTCGTCAACCCTAACTTTGTAAAACTCCGCATCTGCAAGTCTTTCCCGATACCTCTGAACTTCTAAGTCTAGCCTGTCCGCTCTCTCAGCTCTTTCTCTCATCGCATCTACCTCATCTCGATAAGCCTTTGCCTTTCTTGCCTCACTCAACAGATCGCTGTTCTGAAATAAAACAGCAATCCTAATTACAAAATTATACGTACATTGAAAATATCAAAAAAGGAAGCAGTAACAACTTACTTCTACTCTTAGTTTTGTTACTAAACTGTTTGCATGTTCTAATTCTTCTTTACATTCTACCAGTATTTCCGTTTTTTCTTCTCTAAAAACAAATGATTTGATTCAAGACGCTTTTTTCTTTCATGTTTTGATGATAAATACCATTATCATTATATAACACAGAAATATTTAATTATTTTCATATCACAGCAAAGATGAGATTAAAAAAGATCAAACTGTTATCAATTAATCTCTAATATGTGTTAATCTCTACTAATCTCTAACATATTTTCCATTTTTTAATCATATGAGATTTATTTCATACAGAAACTTAATTTTCTAAGGATTTACCCTGACATAATGCTATTTTGTTAATAATAGTAATACATTGAAACTATTAAATAAAGTCTGACTTACAGTTCCTGCCTCTGTTTTCGTAACCGAGCTTTCCAATCTGCTAATTCTACTGCCAAATGATTTGATTCTACTCCTTCGGTATTTGAATTTGCAGTCGGACTTGATACCGATTCTTGTCCTAAGTCTGTTACCCATTGTTGTAACAACTTATCACGTTCTCCTGTCAAAGACCTTAAATGTCTATATAGTCGCTCTGCTGGCTGGTCTGTCCAATCAAGTGTTAATACAACAGTTTGATCATCGGTAACCTGAAAATTAGTTCACTACAACACTTTAGATTATGATAAAAAAAAAAATTACCTTTTTTATGCAGTCGACAATATCCTGCTGATCATCAACAGATAACTCCTTTATTTTCAATATAAAAACCTCTTTTGTGGGTCCTTGAACAGCACAACCCAGGAGTAATAAAATTAACAATTTCAGTTGCTCCAAAGCTGCTTGTGAAGCAGGGGCTCTGCCCAATGTAACACAGTCTGGCAGAGATATCACAACTTGGCCCAATTCATCCTCATAAATTGTTTTAATATTTTTAATGATACAATGAAACACTTTTATTCTAGCTGCAGTAATATTAAGACCCTGTAAATTAGAGGTTGTAGGTACTGGTTGGGACGGTTCGGGATCGATTTGAAGCAAAACTTCGTTGATTGGAGCTCCATCAAAAAATGTTTCATATACCTGTAGAGATTCTGGTTTCTTCACACATGTGGAGAGCTGCAATGGAATATTCGTCATAATATTCTCCTTAAAAAAATGTACATAGTTGGAAATTGCAATACATACCCATTTTACCAGTGGGCCAGAAAGGAAATCATCTATGTCACTAGCAGATGCTGCCATTTTACTTGCATTATTTTCAGTGTAATTAATTATAATAAGTTAAAGGTTACTGTTACCTATTCATTTTCCTTGACAGAAGGAATGCGTTTCTCAATAAAGAAAAATAAACAAAACACCTTGCATTAATTTAGAATACTTCAGTGCCAAGACTGCTAAGACAATAAAAGAGCGACAGTAGGAAAATGATAGTACTCACATATAATAATCTGTTAGTTAAATTTTTATGACATTAATATTTATGCCTTTTTAAATTTATTAAATGCAATAATGTTTTTGCCCAAAAATATTCACGGTACCAAATAGGGAATTAAGATGGCCGGTCTTTCATTGCAGTCATTGCACAGCTGATTTACATTGGATTTTTTAACTTTCGTTACAAAGAAACTCATTTAGTTTACACTGCTTTGCACAAGGTATTATTTTTAAAAATTTAATTACAATAAATTACCTAGACCCAATTAAATGGTAAATAAAAAATATTTATAATAAATTTGCGCCATCTATCTACTATCGTGAAACCATCTGAAACCATAAATGCAATAAATAGTAAATACTAATTATAATTATGATTAGCATTAGTCCGAAATTTCAGTACACAAAGAATTGTACATAGAATTTCCTACTCTTTGGAAACATTGATTTTATATAGTGATGGGATCATTTGAATGAAAAATAATCGATCATCCGATTATTGAAATAATCGAAACCTTCCGATTATTAAAAAACAATTCGGATGATAATCGGTCACTACTAGTGATGGGAGATTTCGAGTGAAAAATCGAGTGGTACTCGATTATTGAGATCACTCGAGATATCTCGAGATGTTTACTCCCACCACTCGAGTAATTATTACCCTACGGTTGCACCCCAAAATGTTAGTGCATACTGCAAATAGTCACTGATTGCGTAACCTTTTTTTAGAATAAAACGAAAAAGTGGTTAGGTTTTGAAGTGCGTGAGCTTTTTTTTTTTGTTCAGCGGCGCACAAATAT